AGATGGTAAAACAAAACACAACTCCAGATATGGTTTTGATGTGGTAAATAACATTATAACACAACTCGAAGCTCTTGAGTCAGTTTTGAGTAATGTTACAGGGTCTTTAATGGTAGAGAGCCATTCACTAAAAGAAACGATCAGGGTCAGCATTAATGATTTTACCTTTTGGATGTTTCAGGGCAAAGTACCATGTTATCAATAGGAAAATCTGACAACCACTAATGAAACATGTATCGGTAACATAGCCAGGTTTTATTTATTAAATGATTGATTTGCTGGTTGGTGTGGTGTTCCATATTTAATTCATAGACACAAACCAGCAAAAACAAGCTATAATTTCAAAAGACTATAGAGCTAATTGATTAATCTGTAGTCTGGTGATTATCCTTGAGATTAATCGATTACTTGTTTAGAGTGTTCTTGTTTGTGAGGCTGTTTGGACACCCAATACTCTTTAAAAATGTGGTATTGTATGGTTTAGGTAAAAAACAAGCTGGCCTACATACAGTATTACTCAGCCCTGGGCACACTCCCCACCCCAGTCTATAAATCCCCCTAATGAATTATTTAAACATTGTTAAATCACCATTGAACACAGAGGCAATAACCCTGCACACATGGGTCCTCCTAATCTGTCGCATGGGCTTTCATCCGTCGCCATGGTGACGGAAAGCCGGAGAGCCGCAGCTGCCGGACCCTGGCTGTGATGCTGAGATTAGGGTGAAGTCAAACCAAACATTCAGCACTGTCTTCAAATCTAAAAACACTAACTAAATGTGAGGCATATAGACTTATTTGTTACAAGATCATAGTGAAATGGTTATAAAATTTAAAGTGATAAATGCTGTCGTCGTGTCCTTGGGCAGGGCACTTAACACCACCGCTCCCCCAGTGTCTGTGTGCGTTGGTGTGTGAATGTAAGTGTGAATGAGTGAGTGGGAAGTCAGGACTCATTTCGGCTTTTACACTGATCCGAATGTTGGCGGTTCGAGTCCCTCTCTTAACATAAACATCATCGGTTGAACGGTCAAATCCACTGACCCACAGGTTGGTGATGCAATTCCACCTAACACAGATGAATGCTGTTGTGTCCTTGGGCAAAACACTTAACCCACCTCGCCTCCAGCGGTGTGTGAATTGGTGAGTGGTTCCTTGATGAAAAAGCCCTATTCATTTTTGTTTTTTTTTTAATCGATAATACACTTAACAAATCAAGTTTAACTATAGGAGCATTCAGTGACCACATTTCAATATTTATTTGGCTAAAAATATATTCTAAACTTTGTACAACTGAAATAAGCATTAAAAAAATCTAAAAATAATTTAATCTGATTATTATTATTGAGAGAATCCCTCCAAAACATTGCGTCATCTTCAGTAAAACAAACATTAAGCCTAAATATGCATTGGAAAATCTATAAATGCATCTTAACAGAAAACAATAGCACTATAAGAATATTGATCACTTGTGGTCTATTGATCAGCCACATGCAAATTACTTTCCAATTCGTTAAATGAGAAATTAACAAGTTTAGACTACACATAGTGAGTGCACCATCTGTTTCTCAAATACTACAACATTCAAAACAAGTATGAACGTGTTTGGGTGTCTGGCTGGCATGATGTCTCATTTAAACGTGATTACAGACTTTCGGCTTGCAGAGAAAAAAAAAAAAACCCTCTCTCTTCCATTCCATCCTGACTGACTCACTTCTTATGATTGACTTTCCTCAGACCAGCCCACCTCCGCTGTCTGCCCTCAGAAGTGACAGACGACAGGGCGTGCATGTAAACTGTGTAGGTCTATATCAAAAAGCAGGGCGCACCAAGGGAGGTCTAAACTAAACAAGAAGCCACTTCACAGACCAATACGTGAGGCCATTTCCCCCACACAGCTATTCATTTGATACGGAAAACAAATATATAGTTGCTTTAATGTTTTCCAGGCATGCAGAGCTTGTATTGTTTTTTGCCAGGCTATCAAGGGTTGAGAATCTAAGGTGTTTGGAACAAAACTGTGTAATATAGATGAAGGGTTTTGTAGTGCATAGCCAAAAATTTGACTCCACCGCAGTTAATTCAAAATACAGTAAAATAGAAGTATGTTGTGGTTGAAGAAAAAACAAAACAAAAACAAAATTATTCAAGTAAGAGACAGAATGTTGTGAATGTGTCATCTGAAACCCAACCTACAGTAGAGCAGAGGTGAGTAAAATTTAGTTATTTTTTTAAGTTGGCTTGGCCTTTTAATGTAGTCATAATAAAGCGTATATGGTCATTCCTAAAGGACAGACTAGAATAGACAACAACAGTCTCAGTGAAATACAATGTGTGTGAACTATTGGTGATTGTCAGAATGGAACAATGTCATACAACCAGATGTGGGGGAAAAGACATTCTTTTGCATTTTGCCATGAAATGTACAAAAGGTAAATTCACAAATGTTGACCCCGATCACACTGTGACTAGATCCTAGAACTTGCTACCCAGGCTGGCGCCACCTAGTGCCTCCACTCAATTTCATTTCTCTCCAGCAACTAGGTCAGGAATCAAAATACAATAAGCGGTTCGCAGAAACCCCGGAAGTGCAAATAAGGGCACCAGCCAATCAGTGAAAAGCCATATATTCAGTGTTGTCAACGATTTCCGAGATTGAGGATTTAAAGCCAGAATAAAGAGAATGTTTGGTGAATTTTATCAAGGGGAAAGACATTATTGCCCTTCTTCTTTCTTTGATTTTGCAAAAGCTTAATATACCAGTTAGGCCCATTAGTGGCACCGTACATACATGACTACCAAATAGCAGTGTTTGGTTAAATGATAAAAAGTACCCGCCTGCTGTCGAGCGAATAAATTCTAACACTGCGAGGTCGGACAGTTTCTACGAAATGAAACCGTCTGATGAATCAGGCTACAAACTTGCTGCACTGCAACAAAAAATTGCATTTCAACTATATTATAGATATCATTGATTTATAGGATGTAATCTGTAATGTCAGCTGAACTCCAGTGTTAAGTGAGTCATAGACCATGATCATTACTGTCATGAAACTATTGCTCCTGCTATAGCTTACTGTGTTGCTCCAGGACAAAGGTGAACTCACTTAACCTTCAGATTCACTGGAAATATATTTGACAAGTGTATAGATTTGGACAAGGAAAAGAGTAGTTAGTAGTAGTAGTAGTAATGTTGCCTGACAATTCCATTTTTCTATTTCCTGCAGGATTTTCCCATCCAAACAGACAGTCTTCCCCAAATCCTGATTGACATATGCATTTTAGTTTTTCAAGATAATTTCTGGACTTCATTAATAGAATATGTTTTGAACTATATTCATGTAACACACAACTTATTTATGCATTTAAAGTGCTTGTAAATTCATTTTTACAGAAACACTTGCGGACCGGGTGAACAGGCCGGGGGATCAGGCCAAAACAGTTACAGAAACACACAAAAAGCGACGCACACATGCCTGCTATTTAATTATTATTTAATCATGCCTAAACTATTTTCATATTTAAACAGCAGATCTCTTTAAGGCCAGTAAAGGAATTGTACACACATTTGTCAAAAAGAATTATAGTTTTGAGAATCTAACAAATAGTGGCTGTTATAGGCTTTGTTTAAACCAGTGTAAAATAACCAGAAAGCATTTTTTTTTTTTTTTAAATCTTCATTTCATTAAGTGATCCAAACTGCACAGCAACATTTGGAGATTTCAAAAAGCAAACTTCACCCATTTTAAATCAACTCAAAACAACTAGTGTTCTCGGGCCAATTGCTCATGCTACAGGCTATTATAGAGGTTAGGGTTAGGATTTTAGTTCTTTTATTTGAGGATATGTCTAAAACAGTTGGGCCCATCTGAGGATAGGGCTCAGTCTTTCACATGTCACAATGTAAGGTGTACTCACCGTAACCTGACAAGTGTCACACTGGCGTCTTGTTATGTGATAGGTGGAGTCCTGAGAGGAGCTGTGGCTGTGGTGCTGAGATGGACCAGCCTCATGGACGTCCAGAAGATCTCCTCACAGATCCTCATGAAAGTGGTGGTTGGGGTTGTTAACAATGAGGTCTGACAAGGGTACTTGAAATGACATATATAGCAGCTACGAGGGCATCACCAGCAGCATCAGCAAACCTGTGTCCTGTACTTCTGCTTTTCAGAAGAATCTGAAAATATAAACACAATTAAGACAATGAAGTTGTTCAAATTATGGTGTTTGCAGAAAATGTCAAGTATTATCCTTCATATAGAGTAATAACTTACAGTATATAGGCCTAAGCATGAACTTAGTAATTTTTGGAGTAGGCTGGTCTGGGCATAACATCTGATTTATAATTTGAAGCAATGACAGGACAAAAATAATAAATAATACATTAAATCCATTGTTTTCAAAGGATAGAAAACACAAATTAGATATCCTTCTTGAGTAATGTTGGCAGCCTTGCTTCCACCAGTTTGTTTAAGGACAGCTACGGCTAGAAAAGTAGCTTACCACCAGTAAGTATGGAGTGACTGAATAATGTATAAAAATGCAAAGCGCTGATCTTTTGAAAAGGGCTATATAAGACCAATGCATAATAATAATAATAATAATAATTGTTATTATTATTATTATTATTATCATTATTATTATTATATCCAATATATTTTAAATGTATATAGTTATCCTTAGCTGTGTGTAGATATAAATTGTGTTAAACCCATTACTTGTTATTGCACCAAAGTGAGGGTCAAAGACTCCCCTGAAAATGAGACTCAATCTCAGTGGGACATTCCTGGATATATAAAGAATGCTAAATTAAGAAAGTGATGTAAGAGAAGCATTGGTTATTAGAAGGCATAGTTTATTGTGATATAAATATGTATTAAAGGTCAAAAGAATGTCTACAGTATCCAAGATGCAGAGATGAAGGAAATGCAGATGGGAAAGGAAAACATAATACAAAGATATCATAGAGGAAATAAAATATGAAATGTAATAAACAATAGTGTTGTTAGAATCAATATGTATTTATATACATTTAATTTTACAATATACTCTACATTACTATAACTGGACCTTAATGTACAGCCCACCAGAAAGCACAGAAAGCAGATCAGAAAAAAATTATGGCATTTTTCAGTATAGTCAAAGAAACCTTGTGCTGATGCGCCATCTGGTGGCCTCTCCTCACCAGTTCAGAAAATGTACAAATGAACAAGGACATTAGCCTAACCATCCAAATTATTTTATCCCCAACAGACATTAGCATTTTAATTTTAATATTCTATCAGCTGAAACAAAATGCTTAATCCTAATAAATGTATGCAACCAATAAAATAATATTGTATTGGAAAACAAATAAATTATAAGCAGAAATATTGGAATATTTTTGGTGTATCCTGATAAAAATAAAATATGCCAATATAGAGTTTTTTGTATTATACTCTTGTAATGTTGTAATTTTGTTTACAACACACATTTTTTTCCATTTTAAATTTCTGAAGATTTGACATTTTTTGAATTTTTTTCTATTCTAAATGATACATATCTTTCATTCATTCACTGTATCCAGTATTTTTCAATAATCTGCCCACCTCTAGCAGACTCAGTTCATTTGAACCTAAAATGGTATTGGTCTGGAAAATTGATTTGCTTGGAAATACATTTTAACAAAATTCACTTGCTAGTCTGTATGGTTAGGGCTAGGCTGGTAAAAGTTACTGAAGTATAGTAATGAATAAACACTTCATTTATACCCTGGTATACACTGGTATGAACACTAAATCCAGCAACAATCTCATTTTTTGACACCGTTACCTACACCTAGTAAAGAATGTGCAAGACAGCACCCCCTTGTGTGCATCTGTGGTCACTTCATTCAACATTTAGGTTGGTCACAGAGTTATGGCATCTTTTATATTATATTCAGTCATCCGCTTGGAGCATCTTCTCGATCTCTTGGTCCCACTGGTCATCCTTGTTGTCCGACTCGGTTACGACCTCATATTCCTGGAGTTCTTGTTGCAGTTCCTTCTCCCAGTCTGCAGAGTCATCTAAACACATTCAAAAGGAGAGTATAGCATTCAATAAATTGAAGAAAAAAATAATACACAGAGTATATAAAACTTTTAAGGTCCAATATTATGCATTATTCAGGCTATTAAAAAGATTTAGGACATCTAAGCCTTTGGCAGATGTTCCCTTAAAAACTTTCCAAAATAGAAGTCCTGGAGGCAAATGTGAAGTGGAAAATATTTTCATTTATAATGGAATAACTGGGATTAATCACAAAATATATATATATATTTAAAAAAAAGATTAATTAAGGGGGGTTGGCAAATTATGGCCACTTAAGATACATGTGAGTGATAACACAGCCCTATTTGAAGGCATTTACAAATGTGGTTTCCATTATTTCTTCACTTAATAGAGAATGTGCATTTATGATAAAGGCAAAATCCTGATCCTGATGTGGTTTTACAGATCAAGTACTAGTATATAATTTTATCTACAGTTACAACAAATTATAGTTTGGGAAGCTCAAATACTATTTTGAGGCTATAAAATAATTTGCAGCAGTTGTAAATAATAATAACAAATCTGGTGAAAGAGTAGGAACTTTAAAATCATGGATATGCTTCACAGATTACAATTTGCTCTGTGGCAGGAGTACTTGGAGAGGGAGCAAAACCAAATATGTGTCAAATTAAATAAATCACAAGTTATGGTATGTTTTTATGAGGGTAGAACAACATAACATACATTTTCCAACGAACAAAGGATAAGATATAACTACTGACCATCAGGTGAGGGCGTGTCATCCTTCTTGTCAAGCACAAGCTGCTCCATCCCTTTCCTCAAATCCTCGTGGTTAATGGCAGCAGAGTCGAAAGCATCACTGACAAACTCTGACACACCCGGGCTTGTGGAAATCTCCTCTTCTTCGTGTTGTGGCTAGTAATAAGAATATTTTGATATTAGCTATAACATGTTCTACTGTTCAAGTTTTATAATAAAATTTCAAAACATACCTTTTTAGCATCAATAATTGAAACAGGTGGAGTTTTTGGCCTGACGTTGTCTGTGAAGTAAAATAGCACTGTGTTGAGGAAATGCTCAGACATGTAACTGACATCAGGTACTAGGTCCTAACATTACAGTAAATGACTAACAGAAAATCATCTGGACCCGGACTAACACAAGACAAAGAGGTTAGCCGTGGTTGCTTTAACTACAAATGTATATCTATAAACACAGTAATACAGCTTTAATCAGCTTTAAAGGTTAATTAAGTAACTCTTCTAAAAAGGAGGTCTGTCACCTGCTTCCATGGAAATGTTACTGCTTTGCCTTGAATGTTCTACAAAGGATAGAAGAACAACAGCAGTAATGTTCTACCGTAGTAGACACCTCAGTGGAGACAATTAGGTGTTGGGCCCGTCCATTAGAAAAGTTACATAATGTACCTTAATATAAAGGTGGAATATAGTACCCCACATTCAAAGTACCAGACAGACTTGAATATCAACATTTGTTGCAACAAGCTTAAAAGAATATGAAATATGCATAATGAGCTGCTACCTGTGAGAATAACATCTTCAGGTGAAACACTGGCCCTTCGCTCCTCTCCATCCTGCTGCTGTTGTTGTTGAGCTGCCAGAGCTGTGAGCTGAGCCGACTGTTTAATGAGAGACACTCGGTAAAAGTAATTCCTCCAGAAGACATCCTCCTTCACGCTGTTGAAACATAATTTCATGTTTAAAAGATTTGAATATGTAAGTGCACATTTCTGCTCAGAGATGACTCACTGTTTGGGCACGAGATCAAAACGCATGTGGTTCAGAAGCTGGTCCTCTTCTAACATGACCGCAGCCAGAGGGTACATCTGATCCATGTCAAAGTGGAACTGAACCCCAGCAGGGGGGTCACGCAGGAAGTTCCTTTTATCCTATAGTACCAGAGAATACACAAGGTACTTCACATAATAGAAGTCATTACTGGATCGTCACAGATAATCCCTGTGTCCAATGCACTTACAGCTGACAGAGCCAAAATCTGCTGCTGGATGGTCTCCTCTTCATTGTAACCGACCCAGGGAGGAACTGCTGCTTCTGGACATAAGATACAGTGTGCAACTGCTCAATAGAGTGACCATGGCCGCATCTGCTAGTACATGGCCAAAATCATGGTGTGTGTTAACATCATCATCAATCAATCTGATCATCAAAAACACCCATGTGTCAGAAAATCCTCACATTATAACACCAGTTACTGTCACTTTAAACCACTGTAATTAACCTACTTGCATTTGTTTCAGCACTGTTGTTCTGCCCATATTCTATATTTTGTGTTGCATATCAAAGTCTATTTTTATAATACATCACCTTGTTTTTATATTTTAATTTTATCATTGTTTATATTATTATTCTTTGTTTAATGTTGCATCATAAGTCATAATGCTGAAGCAAGTGCCTAGTTTGTGAATTTTCAGTGACAATGGCAATAAAACAGATCTAGAGGAACTGTTTTGAAGACAATGTACAACAAATTATTGATCATTACTTGTTAACTCAGTTGTTAACATTTTCTCTTAAATTTTTGTCTTTGAAAACTCCAGAACAGATTTTTGGTGTGCAATGTAAAAAAAAAATCAGATAGTCTACAGTTTGAGGAACATACTCGTGTGAGTCATTGTTATGTCTGGCATGTGTTTGCTGCTGTGAAATATGTAGAAAGAGTTCTTTTTAGAGTGTATGAAAAAATTTACCATGTCCTTCCAACAAGTTTGTCTTGCTTTACCTGAACGTTTTGCCTTCTTTTCTTGGACAAACTTTTCTTGCTCCTTCTGGAAGTCTCCTAAGAAAGTCTATAAATGCACAGTGCAAATATGTAATAATAAGAGCATAACATAGAACTTTGAAGTGCTGTGAAAAAGGTTGGGGAAGCAACATACCTTATCTATGATTTTACCCTCCTCCACACTTTTCTTGATAGTGTTAGCCGTTTCCACAACAGACTCTGAAATCTTTTTGGTGGCAGTGGAGGCAAAACTGAAGATAAAATCTGTAAATAAAATTACAACACACCCTGTAATATAAATATTTATTTTGCATGTTATAATTAAGTCCGTAAATATTATTAACCTCAGGGATTAACTACACGGCACTCTGCTATATAGTACAGAAAATAGAGCTGCGCAATATATTGCAATCCAATCAAAATTTGCAATTGAAGTAGATGCAGTTGTCAAAAACTGATAAATTATAATTTAGGTATAGAAGCTCCATGATAAACAACAAAATATCTTGGTATTGAAAAAGTCAGTCTTAATCGAAGTTGATTTAATCACAAATGAAATTATAATTGCAACAGAAAATGTGCTATTTATTTCTTTGAATCAACATTTTTTGCATCAAAATTTCCTATACCAACACTAATATAATATTACTTGAGTAAAGGTAAAACTTCTGGAGTTCTTTCGTCTTTTACTTTAAGAGGCCATTTAGACTTAACAAGAAAGTCTATCATGTATTCTAGGTAAATCTCACTTTTTTATAATTTCTGTTGCACTAATGTAAAGGTGGACAATTATCTAAATAAGTGAGACGAGGGACAGGGGCAAGACAACCAAAAGAGAGACAACTGGTCACCCTTATTCTGACCCATTTTAGAGTTATGATAGTAAGTACAATATGTTTTATGACATGGGATAACAAACACAAAACTGGGAGTGTCTCTACATAAATCTGAACTGTCGTATCACCTTACGAAATGCATCATCTTCTGTGTAATTTTGCAACAGTATTGTCGAGTAATATTCCCAGTCAGAGCTGCTAATCCGTGTATTACCGTAGCGCCATTGCACAATCATTAGCTGCCCTATCATTGACATCTAGATTGACAGATCGGGGACAAAAACGTCTCCCTCACCTCCCAGTCCTTTGGTCTGATCCGAGCTGTCTTCTTGGCTCTGGTTCTCGCCATCCTCGACAGGTAGCTGTTTGTTTACCTCGTTTTGTGCCTCAACAACCTTTTCTTTTTGTTCATTTTCGTTTTCTTTCACATCTGCAGCCTTTGGACTCGGGCTCTCAAAGCCCAGCCACGACCCTAAGTTGTTAAACATGTCTGATTACTTTTTTGTCACTAGATCGGTAAGGTTTGACAAAGAAAAAACAAAATGTGACGCTGGCAGATTGTTGACAAAAGGGAACCAGGAAGTGAACAAGGAGCTTTTCTTCTTTGGACGCGTGTCGGAGCCGTCACGTCGCCATCCAGTGGTAAAATGTATGTACTTCTGTCAAGCTCCATTTGAAAACCAAACACGGTATAAAATATAATAACACTGTACTGCGTGTGTTAAATAAAAAAAAAGTCTAGTGGTAGAATGTGTGTAACTCAAGAAACTTCTGCATGCAAGCAAGTGCAGTTTTATTTATGATTTTTTTTTTTTCTTTTTTAATGATTTTTTTTTTTTTTTTTTTTTTTTTTTTTTACACTTAGACTTAGATTTAAACAAATTTTAATAATGCACAAGGGAAATTATTTGGACACAGTAGCTCTCTCATCACACTATATTATAATAACAAAGAGTAAAACATAAATGGTAATAATAAATTCTAAATAAGTAGCAAAAAGATAGCAAAGAGACTGGTGTCAAATAAGGCATCACTATATAAATCTATCTGTACAAGTCAAAATAAGATAAAATAAAATTAAAAAAAAAAACTAATTAAGATTCATCATCACCATTTTCTGGAACAAATTCTCAAAAATGATGAAATGATTGTCGATTGTTGATTATTGATAATTGTAAATGTATCCGAGTGCCAGTCATGTAAACATTGTTCTATCTATATATCTTGTAGGTAAATGATTTTTAACACAAAATCAAAACTGAATACAAAATACATAATAAAACAGAATGCTAATTATGTTGCATTATTTGTTTGGATATATTTCTCGCATTTTTTATTATTACTTCATTTTTTTGCATTTCTATTTTAAATCGTGCAGAACTTGTTCTCGCCAGCAGGTGGGAGTAGTGAGCTCAAGCAGTTACTATCGCATATTAGCTCCGTAGAAGAAGAGCCGGCACAAACCAGTGTGCACTGTGAACAGGACAAGGGTGAGTGGATCTGAATGAATTATTTGGATTTGGGTTTTAAAACAATCATTTGTGATCGCTGTCAATGCTCTTCTTCATAAGTGTATAATGAAACTGTTCAGATGTGATGTATGAGTGATTTTGATGCGTCTGTGAACCTAAGTACTGCTAAGAGTGAAACTGCAAGCAGGATCCAAAATGAAACTGTAATTAAAATGAATGCTCCACTAATACTAGATTACGTACACGTGGCAAATTGTTAGTAAAAGCTCAAATGCAACCAAGCTTTTTAAAACTCCATGAAGTGTATAATTGTTGACATGACAGCAATAGTTACCTATAGTAACTCTATCCTCTGTTTTTACATTTGTACAAATTAAAGTACACTGTGTGATTCTGTCTGGTTAGTCAGCCTAGCATAAGTCTAAAAAGCTTGTAGTCACTGGAAAACAAACTTGACAGATATGTTAGAATCATCTTGTGCAGAGTTCTGTTAAACTGCATGGGCAATTCACTGTGCTTGAAATGAATATCCAACAGAAACTGCAATGTTGATCCAGTATAATTTCTTGTTAGACATTAGGTACACAAAATTACCTTGGTAAAGTTACAGCTTTGTCCATGTAACACACATATTTTTGTGATTGAATTATGCCAAAAAATGTATCAAAATCATGCATAAAATAATTAACTTAAATGTTGTCTTCTTTTCTTTTTTCTATGTGACAGATGAAGACCCTCATGGTGTTTGATTTTGACCACACAGTTGTGGATGACAACAGTGACACTTGGGTGATAAGGTAAAGGGCAATTCTTAATAATATTTGCTTAATTTCTGATTTATATTTAATTGAATGCAGTTTATTTTATTTTATTTTTTAACTACGGTAGATGTCTTCCTGGTGGGACCCTCCCTGACTCAGTGAAGAACTCGTATAGAAAAGGACACTGGACTGAATACATGGGAAATGTGCTGAAGTATATAGGTAAGAGTTTGCTTTCTCCTTTTATTATATCTCTATTGCTTGTCAAAATTGTTGGTATTGCCATATCAACACATACAAAGCCTGCATACTGAGATTATTATTATCTATGTGTTTCAGACTTCTGGTTGACGCATATCAAAATAGCTGTATAAGATTTTAAATTGAGCACCATAATAAAGTTTTAGGAATTCAGGAGTTTTAGGCAGTTTTTTTTATCTTAATACTCTGATGCTCCCAACCTTTGCGCTGCCAAAGGGGACATTCAATTTTGGCTTGTCATTTTGTTATCTCTATATTGAACAAACTTTTAGCATTTTGAGCTGATGTTATGCTATGTTATCTATCCCGTGCTTATCTCTCAGCCCAGTGGTAAACTTTCATCGCTCTTTAACATGTCTTTTCTTACTGCATTTTTCAAATTATAAAAAGTTACACATTGTAATGTTTCCTACTTATGAATATAGGTGGAGTAACATTTGTCCTTCACTGACCTCATTCTGCTAATTTTTTCCTTAAATCATTTTAATTAAAGGAAGGGTGGACCTGAATTGACAATTACATTATTTTTAAATGATTTATGCTATTGCTTTACACACTGATTTGTTTAATCTGCCTATCACTCTCACAAAGCCTATGATATGAAAATATCACCAAAATAGCATATTGTCACACAGATCAGATGACAGATCAGATTCAGTATCATCTTTCTTATTTCTTCTTACATGATCTAAAATGCATTTATTCAATTAGTGCATTTGCCATTTATTCAAAGTGTTTTTGTTCACAAATACCTTATATATTTAAAAACAGAGTTTCTTTATGTGTGTGGCGTTGCCTCTCGACAGATTTCCCCTGAAACTAGGCATGGCGTCATCTCTTGCTTATCCTGGCTAATTTTAACTCTATGTAGCATCTAAGCAAGGCAATGAATTCTCCAAAAGCTGGTGGCAATTCCTTCCCCCAAAAAGTTAAAGTGCATCTTTATAAACCCTGACAAATGTACAGTATAATATCTATCTCAGAGGAGCAATTGCAGAACAGAGTCTGTTGTTTGTTTGAGTCAAATTAGTGCACTACTCCAGTAGGCTTTTTCTTCTTTGTCCAGGAGAGCAGAACGTGACTCCTGACCAGATCCGCAGTGAATTGGAGACCATCCCTTTCACTGATGGAATGAAAGAGTTACTGACCTACATCTCTTTGCATAAGAACTCCATCGATTGCATCGTGATCTCTGATTCCAACACATTGTTCATCGAGTGGATTCTACATGGCTCCAGACTCCAGTCGGCCGTAGATCAAGTCTTTACAAACCCGGCTCACATAAACGAACAAGGCTACATGGAGGTACGAGGCCACCACACTCACAGCTGCACCAGATGCCCTGTTAATATTTGCAAGAAAGAAGTGCTATCGGTTTATCTGTCGCAACAGTCGGAGCGCGGCGTGGAATACAAGAAGGTTTTCTATGTAGGAGATGGAGGGAATGACCTTTGCCCTACGGCCTGTTTAAGAGAGCAAGATGTAGTAATGCCAAGGAAAGGCTACACTTTAGAGAAGTATCTGGCTCAACTGGAAAATCAGCTCCATTCTATAAGACCAAGTGTGATAGCCTGGAGCAGTGGTAACGAAATACTTGAAGAGCTAAAAGCAAGTGTCTAGTCACTATGCACAATGTTGCTTCCACTTTGCGAAAAAACAAAAAGAAGAGGATTTTATTGATCATTAAAAAAACAAATATATATATATATATATATATTATATTATTAAATCACAAAAACTTTTACAATAAACTCGTGTTCAATGCTTAGTTTCTCAAATTTACTTGAATATTACCTCAGGGCATATATCAGGTTAGGCAAAGTTTGACCTGTTGTATGAACAAACAAAAGTAAATAACAGCATTGAACAGTATTAAAATAATGATGCACTGATGATATGGTAATATGCGATAACATTTTAAGCTCGTGTGCCGGTTATTTAGTAGAAACACTGTCTATTATTTTACTGATCAAGTTAAATTGTTAAAAGTGTTGTACTGGTTATTTTTGTTGTATATCTGCTTCTCTCTGTCTCTGTCCCTTCCACTGGACACTTTGCACAATTTTCACTATCCAATGGATGGGGCAAGAGATTGATACAGGGTGGGGCAGACTAATCAGTTTAATTTCTTGCATAACTTAAAATCAATTGTTCAATAAAACTTTGTGCCCCAGTATGATGTATTATGCAGCGTTAAGCATTCATTTTTACATGTCCTGAAATAGAAGAGCTATAATTAATAATAATAATGATTAATGATAAAAGCCAGTATTTTAACTACAAACAAAAATGGATTTTTTAAAACTTACAAGAGTTTTGTTTTGTTTGCACAAGCAATTTAATCATTATTGTAACTTTAAATGATCAATAAATGCATAAATAATAAGTTATGTTTACAGCGTAGCTTAACTGCTTTGTAAATGTTACTCAGCATAATTGAAGTAATTATATTAAACTTTGAAATGGCCATTACGTAAGGTGTGTCCGAATTGTATACACCAAAAAATATGGACTAATTCTGACTAACTGAATATTTGATGTACTTCACATAAAGTATATACTGTTAATGTACTACCTGTCTTGTATTTATTACACTAATTTTAAAAAAATCATGTTTTAATTTAGAAGTTTTTCAAAAGCATTTCATTAAAAACAAAGTTTCCTTTGTAGAAACTTAAAATAACTTTCAGAAATGTCAGGAGTCATCATACTAATGTGTTGACTGTAACTGCTGTACATCTAAATAGATTGCAAATTGTAATCTCTTTTGCATCCTGGATACTTGGAATTTACTTGTATGACCCCCCCTCCCATTTCCTTCCTGACTTGGTGACCAAGAATGAAAAAAAGATACACAAGCACACATATGACCTCTTACATATCCAATGTGGTATTCACAACTTATAATCTGTGTATTTGCCTGGTTGTTCGAGAGGCATTCTTCTAACAGAACCCCATCAATAGCCGACCACAGCTCCCATAGCTGCCAGCCCTGGCCTCAGATCTAACCTGGTATTACAGCCTGACACTCTGCAGGCTTTGTTTACTCTGCCGATTCCCTTTTTAGTGGGAGAAGCTTTAGAATAGGCCCGCTGCATTAGAGGAGGATGCTCGGTTGCATAAGTAACAGACAGGCTGTCAATGCGGGTTATGGGTCTTAGAAGTTTCGGACAGATTCGGTGGAAAACTTTGGTCTCGGGGAGAGCAGAGAGGCAAGAGGCAACAGCTGGTGACTGTGCACAAGTTTGAACAGGAGTCAATGCAGAGATACAAGTCGTTCTGGCTGAAAGAGCAAGGAAGCAACGCTGTCACTAGTGTCTATAGAACTGGGTATGCCACATTTCTGCTAAAAGTGCACTGTTGGATGCTATAGTGTGTGCATTTTAAGGCCACAGAAATATGCTCAATTTATTAAAACTAAGAACTATATTATATATAGAGAGATTACAGTAGTCAAGATATAAAACTACGGACTTTTTTGTAAGCAGTGTACAGTTTCTGCTTGTCTTCATGATCTTATTGCATTGCCTATAATGCCTACCATGCATTCATTCAATTCAGTTTTCATTCAGTTTTTTTTTCCTGCTATATATACACCTTTAAATTCAAGCATTATTACTGTGAGCATGTCCCACAGATCTGGCTAGTGACTTCGTCTAGTGGTGTCATCTGCTTGTTACCATGGTGCTAGATAAGTTTAATGCCATAATGTGGACCATTCCATGAGTCACCAAGCAGGAAGACTCTCCACCAAAAAGTAACATAGCATGTATTTTATTCACTGACATGCTCTTCAGTACTCCATAAGTGGCTCGACTGAATAGTTCTATTCTTTTCTAGTATTTTAAATGTTTCTCTTTTTATTTAGGTTGGAAATTACATGCTGAATGAATTGCAAAAATTTGAATTAAAAGTTTTGTACACTAATACCACTGTAACTCAAGCCCAATAATTTAACTCACAACCTTCTTGATAAAAGGCAGAACCAGCAATCAACCTATAGTAGTCAAGGTATCATCCACAAACCCGTAAGTAATTTATTTAATTTTTTTTAAATATTGCATGCTGACACTGTGTCCTCGAGCAAGACACTTCAATCCCCTTGCCTCCAGTATCTGCACAGTGTTGTATGTAAATTAATGAAGTGCGATTTATTCCTCGAGGTTCCTTGAAGTGCACTCGGCTTTAACATATTCAAATGCCACTGCTTAGTCCCCGTGCGGGTTAAAAAGCATGCAACCACATATTTTACATGTGGTGTGACTCTGTAGGCAAGAAACTACTGCACCACCACCAACAGACATGGTTACGCGATCAACCAAGAGCCTTTCAAGTGGCGGCCTCGTCTCACCTCTGGGCGCTAGTAAACAAGCCATGGCCCTTTCTTTTATGCTAATCCCATTTGTATGAGTGACAGCAGCACACTTGGAGCAATGTGGAACGTCTAAATAAGATGTAATTAGAAGTGAATGATAATTACTCCTACCGGCACCTTGCTGGGAAGGGTTGCTAAGTGGAGGACATGCTGCAAATTAATATTCCAGAGCACTCGTTCAAGTAAGTGGAGGTCTATCTTCTACATGGCCTATGACTTATGCTAAGAAAAACAATGTAATGAAAAAAATATTAGTAACCATAGAGAGAATGTATAGAGAATGTGACGTCAGCCATAGCGTTTAGGGCAAGTCAAATGAAGCTGACAAGGGTAGCAGTTATAGGGGCTTAATTGGAGCAGAGTTCCATATTCAGAATAGGAATTGATTTAGGGACAAAATAGATGAATAAAAACACCAGGATCATGGAGAGTGGGTTAATCCGAATGTTTTGAGGCCAAAATGAGGAGCCTGCTGCAGTTACAGAAAGAGCAGCAACGTTTTTTCAATACAAAGTGTTTTGGAGCTGGTATTTATGAAGCCGGAAGTGCACCCATACTTACTTCCTATTTGGAACACGGCTCCAAGCGGGTTAGCTATGTCCATTTAGTCTATGGTAGTAACCAGAGGTGGGACCAAGTCGTTGTTTTGCAAGTCTCAAGTAAGTCTCAAGTCTTTGACTTGGGACTTGACTCGGACTTGAGGTCAAAGACAGGAAAGTCCCATTCGAATCTCGAGACACTCGCTCATAAGTCCAAGTCAAGTCCAAGTGAAACTCAAAGCCGATGGGCTTTGAGTTTCAAGTAATTTCAAGTCTTTAAACCAAAAAAGTACGAAATATAGCTTAGATTTTTGCTATTTATATGAATTTTAAACTAAATTGTACTTAAAAACGTATGGTATACTTATATATGAGTATTTATATAAGTAGAAGAACAAATTTTTCCTTTTTAAATGTCTTGACAAGAGTGTGAATTATTAAGGCCAGAACAGAAAGAATTAAGATTTAAAAATACTCCATATGTTATTTTGTCGTGTAGTTCTCTGTAGTTCCCTTTGTTTTACTGTATTGTACTGTATTGTACTGTATATTACTGTAGTACATTTGAGGATTCCACATCATAGGACTTCAGTTACTGTTGCCATAGTAACAAACAGAGAAGTGGGAGGGACATGTTTCAATGTGTTCCTTTAAAATTCAGCTCCGCATTTATCAACTGTGAAGAGAAAAGTATTTTATAAAAACAAATATATTTTTAGGAGAAGCATCAAGTCATCTCAAGTCACAGGGCTCAAGTCCGAGTCAAGTCCAGAGTCATTGAGCTTCAAGTCCAAGTCAAGTCTTAGTCCATCAAGTCTCAAGTCTGACTCGAGTCCAAGTCACAACTTGCAAGTCCTCACCTCTGGTAGTAACATAAGGGGATGAGGAATTTGACAATACGTATAGCCAGGTACTATAGAACAAATGACAAAGACAAAAATAAAATAACTAAAATATAATATAATAGCCTCTTAAACTCCACACATCTTCTCTAGAGTCATTTGGATAATTTCAGCCCTTAAATTGTTAAACTCTACTGAACTAAAGGTAAAGGTTAGCTGTTAAATTGAAACAAGGTGAAACACAGCATTTTGAGCATTGGAGGTGTGGACAGACTAGAAATAAAGGCTTGCTCAAATGTGTGAATGAAACAAAACAGAATTCCAGGTCTGTTTTCAGAAGGTAATAACATGTCAGTTTTGCATAATATAGGACCTTTAATAATATGTTTATTTTTATTTGTAGCACTAGCCGTAAAACAATTGTGTATTTGTTTAGAATTGTATATTTTTAGTTTTGCAGCATTTAGTAACCTTCCACTTAACTTTACATTGCCAATCCTTTCTCCTACCTCACACATATTCCAGTTTATTCATAGTAAAAATTTAATTGCTATTCAGGTCTGTTGATGATGCTGGAAGCCATATTGGACAAGAGTTGTTATATGTTCTCTTCAGACAAGGGGTGACCTCTCTGCTCGCTGGGCTGATGGTGAGTGTCTGCTGGACAAACATTAGTGTTTACATACTGTCTGTGCCTGTGCTGGACCTGCCCTGAAGAAACAAGCCCATGGCACTGAAGCCAGGGTCATAGTCTCCCACCTCATAGATTTAGTCTTACAACTTTTTACACTATGTGGAGTTGAAAACTTGTCAGACTTTATGAAATCTAATCTTCTTATGTAGGAACTTTGGATAATTCTTCTTGGATTTCTCTTTTGTGTTTTCCATACAGATGGATGTCAGTTTGGTCCGCATGCCCTGCCTTCGCATCTCAAGCCTGGTCAAACATCATCATGCAATCTTTAAATTTACAAGTATAGCTATTTTTTCTCACCTCAGATTAACAAGATTTTAGTGCTTGGATCATTGATTCTCTAGAACTACATGATGTTTTTCAGTCCCCTGTGATATTTTTTCCTAATATGTCAAACCTGTCAATCACGCCCATTTGAAACACTCACATCTTTGTAAAGTACTGAAGAAGTATATTCTGGATCCCAAGCGAGGGAAAAATACCACGTACAGGGCCGCTGTAAAACATAAAGGGCATGATGAAGGATAACTGATGGGGTAGGGGTAGTGGTAGTGCAGTTATAGTAAACCCGAATCAAACATTTCAAACGTGTGTACATAACTTAACACTATAATTAACCCCAGTCACACTATCAAACATTAAAAGTCTATGGGGAAATATGTAATATTTTATTATATTTAGATCCAGATGTGCCCACTCACTGTTGAGCTCCATGCAAGTATTTGTGTTGTGTGTACGTCGGTAGTTGAGTCAAACTGCAACACTGCAATTCCACAACGATCTAATGCCAAACACTAATACACCATATACCATGGTGTACAGCACTTTTCTTAATATCTTGGCCAATCAATTGCAACATACATAAGAAATCAGTCCAATTGTTTCACTTTAGAAAGTCCACATTCAGAGTGAGTGGATGGACGGTTTGACGGCCGTGGGTCTTTCCTGCACTATAAGCTGAAGGTTGATGCGGTCATGACCCTACACTGGACCGGAGCTTGTCCATTCCCTGACACATGACATAAACAGCCAGGACCCCTGCCACACTCTTCTGAAGAGGCAGTCACTGTGGGCTAAATGACCCTGACAGCCTTCTTTCTTCTCCATCCAAAGTGCCAATT